TCAAAAAAATCTGGTGGGGAAGAATACTTTTATAATCTTTTAAAGAATACAAATTTTGATAAAAATACACAATTAAATTTTCTTGAAGTTGTTCCTTTATCAGAAGACCAAAAAAAATATTTATTTAAAAACATTCGTCAGCATGTAGATAATCCATATAAAGATATTCTCTGTCCAAACCCTAATTAAATTTTATTATCACTAATATTTATCATGTATTTTGAATAAATTATTAATACTAATATTAACTGAATTTGGTGTAACCAATAAAATATTGGGGTAGTAGATCAATTTTAAATTTTATGCAAATTAATTTAAAAAATTATTCGTTGCCCAATTACTCATTTTTTTATTAAGTAAACATGGTTTGAAAATTTTTCCAGTTATAGTTCCAATGTTACTGATTGATGTTATGTAAAAAAGTCAATTTTGGAAAAAAAGACTTATACCCGGTTTTTCCTAGAAAACCCCCATATGTAATAAAATGTCATTGGCGTGAATCATAAAGAATTCTTTTACTATTTTTAGTTTGAATTTTCTTTTTTTTTTTTTTTGGTATGACCAAGATAAATTTTTTTTATTAATAATGCGAATTATAGTGTAACCGATGACATTTTTCATTTCTCTATGTTTGCAAATTCAGTGTAACCGAGGACATTTTTTCCTTTGAATTATATAAAGGCGGTGACCTTTTCCATTTTCCATTAATCGAATCTATAGTGAGGCGGTCACATTTTTTTTTTTTAAAGTACTTTCGAATCATAGTGTTGGCGGTCACATTCAATAGAGTTTTCCTGGTCCTACTAATAATCATATATTATTATATCAGCCAATAATTGTTCATATTTCATAGTTACACGAATTTTTATTTGAGTAACGTTACAATCTGAAATTCATGAGATCCGGATAGATTGATGAGTAAATTTATCCAAATATTATCCAAATAAAATTATTTGAGTATATACAAACACTAGATTATCCCTGATTGAATTTAGCCAATCAGAATTTCTTCTAGAATTTTTCATACCATCGATCATTACGGCATTTAGTA